TTATGCTTATCTGCTGTGATTTCTTTTCCTTTTTACTTCTTTGAGAATGTTTTTAGAAAAGGGAAATGAAGGGTAAGCACTAAGGATGAGAATAGTATCCACTTATTTAAAGTTCTGGTTTTTTTGAAGTGAATCCTCAATATTTTAACGAATGCTGCTTTTGTGAGACATATCTGACTTTTAAATTATCGTAAAACCAGGATCTGTTTACCTGATCTCTAGATAAAGCTACATCTTGGGAATCGTTCTCTTATGACGTCCGAAAATACCGGTCGTTTTTCAAAAGAGAACAATGGATTTCCAGGAATTTCTTTTGTTCTTTTCTTGCTCCCCCCCCCCCCCCCTCTGAACGTCATAAGTGAACGGTCCCTTGGCGCAACCCGAAAGATTAAATAAACCAGCACAAGATATAACACATGCAAAAAGTGCGCCAAAAAATCATTCAACCCAAAGTAAGTCCCAAACTTTACAAATTAATAAGCGATTGCTCACTACATTTTTAAATGTCCTGATCATTAATAATGCATACAGGCAATAATAATATAAGCCACGAAAACTGATCACTTGCCGTTGTATGAATGAATGGATGAGTGATATTAACGAAATGTGAACTCAACACTCCAAGACGAAATAAAAAAGAAAGAGTTTTTATACTGATTTTATGACATAATTAATTATCTTAAATTTTATATCTTTGCACAAAAAAAAATATTTCTTTTTCAGCCTGCATAATATTCAGTACTTCGACTGTATATTTTCCTTCATTCCTTTATTTCCTCGCCGTGATCACAGCGCCATGTTATCATTGCAATGCTCATTCACAAAGGAGCACAGTGCGCTATCATTTTGAAAGGATCTAGAGAATAAAATTCCAGAAGATTTCGAATTTTTAGAGCTGGCGCTCTTTTTTTTTGTGAATTAATGAGTTTGTTGAAAAAAATTAATTAAATATTTATATGTGTATTAATTGCATTCTGAAATTAATGGGCTTATATTAATCAAGTTTGCTTCATAAATGACTTTGGTTGGGGTGTGCCGGTGAGAAATTGAGCGGATTTTATTTCTAAGATTGAACTTTTTACTGAATGCACTTGTGATGCAAAATGTTACTGAATGCACTTTAGATCCAGAAATTATTATTGACTAGATTCGTGACTCAGATCGTCACTGAATACAGCCTTAATGTAAGTTTTATTGAATTTTAATTTGAAACATGATCCATTGGCACCATCATCCGTAAATAACATTTACTTGTTCCATGAATCTTATTGCAGTCCCGTGCTACTCTAGTATAAATGCCGACACCATAAAGTAGCTAAAGAAACAGTAGAAAATAGCTATTAATTTAAAATTTATTGACGTCCTCAATTATTGATTATTGAAGTCTCTTTTCTCTCATTTTGTAAACAATTTGTAATTGACACGACACTTGTAAGTGCTAATTTACGCACGACAATTAAAATTTTTTCGTTTAGTATGTTTTTAATGTCAATAATATTTATTGATTCCTGAATATTATTGCGATTCGATATTAATTAAAACCTGTATAAATTCAATTTCTTTTTAATATCGTGCTGTCTTTCTTTTTTCGGACATTTGCAGATAAATATTATTAAACATCGTCCGATCAGTAACAGCAGAAGTAAGTAAATAACGGCAACCGTTTATGGTATTTATGCGCCATCGTCTGATGTCAAGTTTGTTGATTGATGATAAGCATTTGTGCATATATTGAATATTTATGGCTAAAATAAAAATATGAACAACATGTATGTGGATGAAAAATTTCCGAAATTGAACAGAGTTCACACGTTCTGTCAAGACCTATCGAGTCTCTGTCTGCATCTTTGTGCTTTTGTGAAATTCATTTTGATTATTTAGGGATTTTAGACTCGAAAATCCTAATCTTCATTTTTCATGATGTTAATTCAGTTCCACAATGATTCAGATTCGGAAAAAATGTTAAAAAATTCCTTGTGCACAATATTTTTCCGACACATTAGAAAATTGAAAGTTTTTGTTAATTTCTCTTGATTTGATTCTTTTAGCATCTTCTACATAATGTTGTCGTTCATTGCTCAAAAAATCAGTCCTTAATATAAGGGGCCGCTCACGCTTATTACGTTCGCATTTTAGGGGGGGGGGGGGGGGGTTGAAAAATTGTAACAAAATGTAACATAGGGGGGGGGGGGGGGGGGGTGTGTTAAGAAGTATGTAACGTTCTAATTGTCGTCTGTCTTTTAAAAAAATTTGTTTACAAATTCACACCAAAAATATTTATTTAAATTTTCCACCTTTTTGATGATAAAATAAATTATGAACGTTCAGGGGGGGGGGGGGGGGGGGTGATGAGTTGGGGGGTGAAAAAAAGTCGTTTTTTTGCGTAACGTAATAAGTGGGCCGAATCAATGATAGATTTAAGCTTAATTAATTAATTTATAAAGGTTTCAAAGTGGTCTTTGGAAGACTTTTTAACTTATGAATAGTTTAAGTTTTGTAAGAATACTCAGATTTCAATTGCATTTTTAAGACTTAATAAGCAGTTTTCTGTTAATTTGGTAGTTTTAACATGCAAATCTAAGCTTAACCTAGCTAACAACAGCTAGCAAGATAAGGAAATAACAACTTAAAGTAGAGAAAATCAAAGTTTTTTTTTCATATACAAAATGTAAACAAATTTCTGTTGAAAATAAATTAAAGAATTCTGGAGTTAGACATCGAATTGAAACGAGATATTTTGACTGAATATGCCTTAAGTTAAGATCTTTAATCTGGCATTTAAAAGATGAAGTTTAATTAACATGTTATTTTTGAATTTTTGAATATATTTTCCGAATCTGAATCATTGTGAGTTCAAGATTCAACAATAAATGAAATTTTTCCTCAAAAGGGTGCTAAACTACGCAAAAAAAAAGAATATTCAAATCACAAACTTCCATTACAACCGAATTGATCAGTATTTTAGAATCCCTAGCACCGATTGCAGTCAAATCTGTGACATCTTTGCACCAGAAAGAAACAGAGTCAAATTTTATACAAACAAGGCATTGCATTTGCTGCCGTCTTATCAAATTTGTGCCATCACAATTTACATCTTTGTTTTCATCGTCTTGTCATTGAACATGGTAATTGGCGTATTCGCTATGTACAAACACTCGTTGCATTTATATTATTTTTTTTTCATGTAATTTGCATTGAATTTTGAGCAAATATAAATATCTAATCGCGATCTTTTTTGCAAAACAGCTCTGAATTTTCGTCTTACTTCATGCCTCTTACGATATATTTATTTATGCTTCACTAATTGACAGAAATTGGACGAATGACGACTTCAATAATCGACATTTTCCATGATCGGGTAAGGGGGTTATTTACTTATTACGTCCAATGAGGGGAGTAGCCAATTTGAGCAAAAGGTCTTCTTGAAATTAAGTTTTTGGACTATGCTTAGTGGGTGGGGGGAGTAAGTTTCTCGTTACTTGGTAGACGTCATGTGTAAAGCACCCCCAATATTATTAATAATATTATATTATATTTTTGCGCGCGGGTTTTTCAGTCCAATTGCACAACATTCAATAATTCCAATGAAAATGTGCAATTGAGTTTGTGTGTGTGGATTATTAAAACCAACAATTGCATATGATAAATTCATCAAATAAATTCAATGAGGAATTGGCCTAAAGGATGAATGCAAAAAAATAAAGATTTTTCAACTTAATTGACAGATTCATAATTTTAACACATATTGCATGCCATAAACCACCGTAGCATATGTGAATTGTTATACTGTGCTGTACCGCTTTGTTTGCAAATTTATATATTTCAATTTGTTTTACTTTCCCATGTCTTGCGGGTAAACTAAGAAAAAATATTTTACAAACGGCAACGAGATGTATGCTTGAGAGTCACAACTTTATATATGTTTGTACTTAGTGAAATGTTTTTTGCATGATATTTTTAAATAAACAAAGGAGAAAATTTTGGATTTTTTTGGGTCAACGATCTTCAAAATATTATCTTTTGATTGAAACCTTATACCTTGATCTGGTTTAACCTCAAACTTAGATTTCTTAAGGATGCTTTATTAAAGACGACAGAATGCAACGATAACATTTTAAAAATTACAAGGAACTTCTTAGAATCTTATTGATCTAGACTTAACCAACTTCATTTCAATTTTAATAAAATTAATGTCAATGCTCAGCTCCAAAATATAGTCTCACTATCATGATCCAGTCATAAATCACGTCTCGTTTGAAGCCCAACTTCTCTAGTTCTCGAAATTAAATATTTTTATAGAGGAAATTTCCTTTTTGTTTGACTTCTATTACATTCACATGAGTTAGCAAACATAAATCACATAATAAGAAAATATGCAAAATCATTCGGTATTCTCATCATGTCTATTCACATGACTCATTAATATTCTTCTCTTTTAGGCTTACATTTTGGCTCTACTTCGCGTTAAAATGATATATATGTGTATGAAGAGAGATATACATAAAGTTTTTTTTTCATTCTTATGTCTAATTGACAGTTCAATGTGCTGTGTTTGCTGAATAATCGTTTCGTCTGATAGAAATCAGCTGTCCCATATATTCCAAAAAGGGCATAAAACGTGATCGATTTTAGATTACAATGATTTCGACATGTATGCGTGATTTTACAACGATTCTATTGATTTTAAATCTTTAACGGATATTTTTATTTTGAATTTCAAAAAATTTTCTCTTCGATTTTTTCAAAATGGTTTGTAACGGTTTTTTTTCGTTGTAGTTTTTTACCCTTTTGAAGAAATTTTATTGATTATAAAATTTTTACTGAATTTAAGTTAATAGTGACATTTACAAGTATTGTTGTATACTAAAACATTTGATTAAGTAAGTAGAACCAGTAGATTATGAAGTTCAGCTGTAATAATGCCTAAGAAATGATTAATATTGAATTAAAGTGTTTTTAGGTTATATTTTTATTATTTTTTAATTATTTTACTTTCAGCAATGACTGAAGCATTCGATTTGATGTCAAATACAATTTTTGACAATATTGTAAACACTGAGGATAATCAAGATATAAATCTTGACGATATTTGGAAATCTGACCTTTCATCTTACGATATTGACACAATTCCATTGCTTCCAACACTGGATGAATTCTGTCACGTCAATAAAATCGATAAAGCTGCAACTAACAATACAAATAAGCTAGTTCAAGAAGAACCACGTAATGAAATCATTCATGACTGTATGTGGTCAGGAACTTGCGTCGATAAAGCTCATCCAATGAAGAGAAAGAACTTTCGTTTCTGTCCTAATGAAGGTGACAATTTTGATGATTCTGGTAAGCTTTATAGCTTATTCTCATGACTTGAGTACTTATAATTTATATAATTTTAGATATGGATCTAGAGACGGAGATTATGCTGGAAAACAATTTACCGGCTACTTTTCAGTCACTGAATCGAAATATGCAGCAAAACGATCCAGCAAGTATTTTCCAAGAAATCATACAAAATGCATCTCAGCCGAGTAGAACTTATCCTCAACCATCGTTTCCAAAACCAGTTCCTAATCAGCAATTCCCTCAATTGCAACAAACTTACCATAACATTCCAGTTATCTTTCAAAATCCAATTCCTGCTAAAATTATGGAAGTTAAATGTGAACCAACGACATCCAATAACTTAATTAGATTAGATAATGTTAAATTTGAGCCAATGGCAACTGAATCATACCAAATGATTCCCGAACAGCATCAACAAGTTCCACTTCAACAAGTGTTTTTCTGCAATGAAGAGCCAATACAGCCGCAAGCCGTTCCTTACTATCCACCAACAAAGTACGAGCCAATTAATGCCGTACCACAATATTATTATCCATATCCACCAGAATTTGATTGTAATGGGAATCAAATTTGTCATGTAAATGATACTGGATATTTTAAGAATATCCAATTTACTGTTGTTGATCATCAGAACCAGAAACAAATGAAGCAGAAATCTCAAGTTAAGCGTAAAGGGCCCAAGAAGACTAAAATTAAGGACAAGAAGAGTCGCACGAATGACGAAATGTGTTTTGAAGAAGGAGGAAGCAAGAAACGTCCACTCTCGCGTCTATCAATTGGAAGTGATGACAATCCAATTGCAAAACGCAGCATGCATAATTCGATGGAACGACAGCGTCGAATTGGCTTAAAGAATCTTTTTGTTGAACTTAAGGAATCAATTCCGACATTAGATGAACGTGAACGCGTTCCAAAAGTGAGCATCTTGCGTGAAGCAATCTCTTATTGTCACAAATTACATACAGATGAGAAACTATTAGAGGATTTGAAGCGCAAGCACAATCGATTGATGACACAATTCCATAAGCTGCATAAGAGTATGATTAAATAAGTTTTTACACGTACGTAAGTTGCAACTATAAAATAATGAATTTTTAAAGCCATACATAAATAATGCATTGTATGCGAAAAACCAAAAGAAATTAATGTGAACTAAAAATGCCACTAAACTTTTTAAATTGATCTCAAACTATAAAAAGAAAACATTTATACGACAAAATTTGAGAAACAAATGAGATATAGACTTTATTTTTACCTATTTTTTACATTATTAATTAATTTATGAATTTTACAATCGAGAAAAATAAAGAAAAGCTAATATTTTGAATTATCTTCAAGAAAATCGTGGCTTTAATTAATGCTAGATAGATAACGAATTTTTAAGATTTGAAATTTAACGGTTAAGAAATATTTGAAATTCAACGGCTACAAAATATTTTAAATTAAACGGCTACAAAATATTTGAAAATTAACGGCTATTTTTTGAACAACTTAGTAATTTATAATTTAAAGTCACTTCCTGTGGGGCTGTTCACTTATTACGTTACGCAAAAAATGACTTTTTTCACCCCCCCCCCCCCCCCTGTTACAATATGTTACAAATCACAACCCCCCCCCCCCCAAATTTTTTTCGTAAACTTATTTTTAAAAGTCAGACGACAGTTAGAACGTTACATACTTCCTGACCCCCCCCCCCCCCTATGTTACATTTTGTTTCAATTTTTCAACCCCCCCTCCCCCCTAAAATGGGAACGGCCCCTGTAGATTATTTGCATCTTTAGAAAGCTATCGATCTTATGAATATTCTAAATTTCTCAAAAAATGCTCATAAAATGTCACAATATAAGCGAACATACCCAAAATGAACAAAAGACTGCAACACTTGACATTAAAACAGCACCGAAAAAAACAGAGAGAACAGATTCAGTGTTACATAAATCTTTCACATCAACACGAGTCGTTTGTTGTTTGCTGATAATGTTCTTTTATTTATTTTTATTCATATTCTTGAATATTATACAGCCTACAACTGCACAAAAGAGCTCCTTAATTCTTTTCCATTTTCCTTCGTTCATGCATTCATGAGGAGCCGACATACAGCATAAAAATTGTCACTTTAAAAAGAAATATTTTTGTCAATTTGCTGCTTTAATAATGCAGCAAATGTTATTGCCCGAAATTTTTGGGTTAGCACAAATGTATGCTTAACATAATGGTCGATTGAGGCTATCAGGCAACTCTCTAAGGGCTTCCTTCATCATCCCGAAAAATATATAAAAATACATAAATAAAGAGCTGAAATCGAGGATAAAAAAAATCGTTGTTAGCAATTCGTAAAACATAAGAAAACAAATTCAATTGTTTGTTTCAAAATAACATTTACAAAACCTCAATGCCACAACATTAAAAATTCTCCATTCAATTTTCACCTTCCCTTCCCTCCTTGTTCAGCATAAAATGCTGATCTTAAAGCAAAAGAAGCAAGTCAGCATCCGAAAAATTGAAATTTTGTGTCCACAAATGTTTTTGGGGTCATATGTGAGTGAGGTTTGCGATACATTGGAACCTGATGCTTTGAATTATTCCTGCAAAATCCAAAAAAATTCAAATTTAAAATTCCGTCCGAAAATTAACGGTTAAAAATTATTCGAATGATAATGAAAACCATACAAATTCTTACAAATAATTTGTAAGGTTCTAGATTTTATACTGGGGGTCCTCGATTTGAGTAGATTGTATTTGAGGAGATTCGATTTGAACAGAAAAATTTTTACCCATCAAAATATTCGAATTGAGTAAATTTCATCTTCTTTTCTTCGATTTGAATTGTTTACAAAACAAATATTTTTGATAAAAACATTTCAGAAAATATTTTTAAAACATAAATTTTACTGCAATAAGCGTGAACTTATCATATTGATAGAAAAATCAATACTATAGTTACAAAATTAAAGTAAAAATGTAAAAAATCGATATAAAATAAAAGGTTTTAAAAAATTCAAATTTCAAAACCTTACAAATCAGGGGCGTAGCCAGAAAATTTTTAAGGGGGGGGGGGGGCATTTTCGAAAATTAAAAAAAACGTTATTGTATATCCTTAAATCTATATTCATTCTTCATAAGTTTAAATATTTAATTCATTATTCATACATTAAATTTAATTTTTCGTGGTGATTTTGAAATTTCTTTCATCACTTCCTCTACATTAACTGGTTCTTCTCTATAAATACTTAATAAAACAATTATCAGATTTTCGTATGGGGCGCCCGTGTTTTCCTATCTAAAACACATAGGAAAAATTAAGCAACGAGGTAAAATGTGCAAAAAATTATCAAAATTTTCATTGTTTTGATAAATGTTTTGGACTCTGGAACAAAACATGTAATTTTGTATGGATTCTTTGCCTCGATTTGAATAGATTCGATTTTAGTAGAAATTTTTTGGAACAAAACAACTACTCAAATCGAGGACCCCCAGTACCTGTTACTAAAACCATTCAAAATTTTAAAAACCGTTAAAATTTGTATGGTTCTATTCAAAATACGTAAAGATTCTTATTGTGTGACGTCATCGAAGCATGACTCCCTAATAGAATCTACTCAGCACATTAGCATAGTAAGTGAAATAATAAAAAATTGTGGCTCAAGTGTAAGCGATATATCGCATTAATGTGTCTAATAAGATTCTTGAGATAGCAAATTTTGAAGTAACCGACCCGAAAAAAGCAGAACAATCAAAATGCTGCAATCCTCTCTTTTATGTTGAATACGAACAAATCGAAACACCTGTAAATTTATATTATTTTTAAATATAGTGATTCTTTTTCGATTATGTGGTATAAAGCATAAATGTGGAAGATATAAAGGCGGAGAACAAACAATTTATGTGTCGCATTTTATCGAAAAAAGATTCTTATCTACTTGAAATGATCATCTACTGTGTTACTTACAGCACCAGCTTATCCCCAGCCATGCCATCCCTTTCACAAAAATGCTGGAAAGAATGCAGCATAATATTTCTTATATACATCCAGCACACGCTTGGACTCTTTTTGTTGTTTAAAAACAATTTTTATTTCATTTTCATTCAAACTCGATTTTTTTTTGTGCGCGGCAGAATTTTTTAACACCATAAATTTTATTTTCTCGAAAACATATTTTAACACATTTTTCTCTCATAAAGCAATTTGCTTCTGTTGCTGTGTTGTTGACTGGAATGGAGAGAAAAGATTTTGGCAATTTTTAATTGAATTGGACGCATTTTTGAGAAAATGTTGATTTTCAACGGATTTTTGGATTTTGAATTATATGTAACGAGTTTTTGGCATTTGAATTTTCTTGTAACGCTTTTCAGGGATTTGAATTTGCGTGACGGACTTTTTTCAAAACTTTGAAGGTTACGTTTAGTTTTTTGAATTCAAAAACTTCGTTAAATTTTCTTATAAAATATAAGTTAAACTTAATATTTTTTTAAGACAAGCCATTAACACTACTCAGTCAATCCATCGACAATCACTCACATGTCCAAAAATAAAATTTTCTCCGCAAAGAATTTTTACAATTTTCGCACTATAATTGATTGCTTGTGCCAAAGCATTAAAATTCACTCTGAATGCCATTTTGAGCATTTTTTGTAAAATTTATTTGTATGAAAATTATGCGAATTTTTTAGTATGTTGATTGACACCTTGAAATTACAACTGCATTTGGTCAATGGAAGGGATTTCAATATATTTTACTAATAATTTATGTATCTGATCGTTGGCTGATGCAACACAAAAAACATTTTCCCATAGACTTCATCTTTCAATTTCTACTTCTTTATTCAATTCATGCTCTTCTCCTTAAAAATAGAGAATATTCACCACATATAGATTTCTATCAGACGTTAAGTATCTAGTAAATAGCTAAAAACGGTGCTTCAACGACAATACAGAACAATAAAAAGTTGTGAGAAGACTAGAGAATAGCGAATATCGTGAGTTGAATCTGCGTTCAACTTTATTCTCTTATTTTTTTTTTTTGATGAATAATGAATAACATAAATAATATCATCGATAATTATAATAAGAACAGTATCAACAATATGTGTATGCCTGCCTCATGTTCACAGCAATGCAGAATGAAGAATAATGTCGAGTTGCGCTTCTTACACTGCTCTACTACTCTTCTCCCTTCTGATTACGATCATTTCACATGTCAATTATTTTTTTCTGTTTTTCATCATTTCATATCTCATATTGAGCTTGAACTTGTGGAGCTAAATATCATTCGAGTTGTAGTCTTCGCTTCTTGCTCTTTGTTGAATTGTTTTTTGTACATTTTGTCTAAAACAGCATTTAAACAGCTAAGAAATTAACGGTTAAAAAATATTCAAGTTTAATCTAAATTTCTTAGAACCTTTCAAATGTTATCCAAGCTTGGCTGTTGAACGGCTTTAATATGCACGAATAAAACAATTGTGAGGTTTTTAAACACAGTTTTGTATAAAAACTATACAAATGTTTTGAACTGTTGCATTGTTTCAAACCACAGTTGAATGGTTCGAAAACACCTAAACAGCTGTTGTAAGGTGAGTTTTCTCCCAACCTCCGAATGAGGAGGTTGTGGAATTGTGCAATACTTCAAAATTAATTAAATACGCGTAGGAATAAGTCACAAACCTACGAGAACTGTCTTCAAAGTAACTAAGGAGAAAACTCAGCAAAGTCGCGATTTAATTAAATTTTGGATATAAATTGAAATTGAAAAAAAAATGTGCAAATTTTGCACATAACCTAGATAAAACGGAATTGAGCATCATCGGAATACCAGAGAACATTTAATTCCATTGACAAATCACGATCGGTGGCAGTTGTGAGGAGAATCAACTGTTTCACGTGGGTTTTTTGTGTTTTAACAATAATCGTGGACAAGAAGGTTCTATCATAACCATAACCTAGACATATTGAATATTATTAGAATACAACGGATTATCGTCAATTGTGAGGAGAATTTGTCTCGCGATGGGTTTTGTGTGTTTCCTCATATATCGCGGGCAAGTTCTATCAATCAATTGGTGCTGACTGGATTTCAACAAATCAACATTGACAAACAGGAATCGATCATCTCGGAATACAGCAGAACATATTAATTACATTGACAGATCACAATCGAGACATAACAAAATTTTGAATCTATTTGGAATATCACAAGTTGAATTACAAGAAGGACTGTCAAGGGATCTGGATCATCGACAACTGAAGATGGAATTTTTTGCCTAGCGATGGATTTTTGTTGTTTTGACTTATCGCGGGCATATTTTCTGTCAACCATTTGGAGTTGACTGGATTTTATTGATTGTTCTTTGTGTATATTTGTAAATTAAACTACCTGGAATTGTGAACGGTCTTTAAATAGCAATAAGCTGATGGACCATAATAATGTTAATTAAGAAGAAGAAGCTGTTGTAAGGTTCTTTAAAGTTTAAAATTATTACTAAATTTTCATTGTTTTTTTAAAAAGTAACTTAATTGAACTTCGATTGCGCTTGATTGAATTTGCCACCACATTTCTTCATTACTTGCTTTTCTTCACATTTACGGACAATAACCACATATAAAAAAGTGGATAAAATAGAATGAATTATACCACAAAAAGGAACTATCAGAACTTATTAATCGCTGATGAAACGCCGTTGAATATTAACATAGACGTTGTCTTGCTTGCCGTTATGGGATGTGCTGTTAAAAAGAGGCAAATATTCCTCTAATGAGTTATCAATACATGATCATTATTATTATTATGCATGTTTTCTAGGCAGGCTCTTCCAATGAATATTGACATTAGCTATTAAAGATTTTTTTTTTGTGTGCACATCGATGAAGATAAAGAGATTAAAAGTAAATGAGTTTATAATATGAAGAATTTTATTTCTGCATTTTAAAGAGAACTAATTGAAAATTAACATCATGAACAGCATAAAGAAGGAGATGAAATGAGCATGGAATAATCACAGAAGAAAGATCTTGATAAGTACGCGAAGAAGCTGAATTGTAGACTTTATTTTGAGAATCTTGAAGCGTGATTTTTTAGATGATTAGGGGCCGGTTACTTATTAAATGTTCGACATAATTTATAAACAGCCCATAAATGAACAGCGCCTCAACAAAACCTAACACTTAGTTCTTTTTAAGAACCTACTTAATTTTTCTATTAAGCATTAAGTTTCAATTTGACAAAATCTTGTCAAGAATTTGTAAATTCAAAATTTGTTTTTTTCTGATGCATCCATTGAAGTTCTTTACTTTTTTCCAACTCCTTTAACAAGAGCTTTATCTAAAGCAACAGGATACCGTTTAGAAAAACAAAAATTCCTATGTAGATCTAAATCCCTTAATTTGTTTAAATTCTTAAAAGTTGTTCCTTAAAGTTGTGCTTCTAATGTAATTATTTTCAAACCAAATCAAAGTGAGCTCAGAATGATATTTAAATAAGTCTTCCTCTAATGTTTCTTTATCGTTATGATCCAGATTTAGATATTGCAGTTTTATGAATTGCTTCAAGTCATCTTAATGGATTTCCTTGAATCTTCCGTATTTTATTCGAATTGCGATTAAATTGTTGAATTCTTTGCCTAAACTTTTGGGTATAAACTGAATTTTCTTGTTGTGAATTGAAAGTTCAGTGACGGTTTCGATGTTTTCGTCCTCTACATGTGATCCTTAATATTAATATGATATTAATACGAGAAAAAAGCAAGAAATCTGGAACTTTAAAGTCACAGTGGATGACAATTGAATTGATAACGTAAAGCAATGCTAGAATGCTGAAATGTAATGTTCCATAAAAATTCCTAAAGTAAATTAAAGATCAAGAATAAGTTAATTCGGTCTTCTAGCTACTGATAGTCACTATTGATCATTAGGTTGATTACCCACCACCACACATCATTCATGCTATTTAAAATAATCATATAGAAAAACCTTTACAAAATTTTTGATAAATTTCAAAAAATAACTTTTTTTTAAACTTCACAAAAAAAATATTCTTTACTATTTCAAAAATCTTCCTAAGAATGACCAAAAAATTATATTGAAAAATTGCTTTTAAGTTTGTTTATTGCATAATATGAATCACATTCTACAACTCATTATTATTCTGATGATATTTTGTTGTGAACAAGCTTCTGATAATTTGCAAAACAAATAGTTTAAATTGATAAAAGTATTATGTTACTTTAGTAATATGTCCAGCTATGATTCATGGTAATTTAAAAACAAGTATGATATTTACAATGGAAAGAATTGAAACTAATGTAAATCCTATTGCCAATGGCCAGAAGTGATTTGATAAGAACTTCTTCAAAAATTCAATCAGAGTTTTATCTTTAATTTCTAATTCATTGAATCTTGAAATAATTGCCGTAGAATTATTCAGCATTTCTTGAAGTTCCTCTTGATGTTTCTCACTTGCTTGTAATTTAACTTGAAGTTTGGAGATTTTTGCTATGTTAATTTCAATTTTATGCGTAAGTTCAACTTGAAGTGTTTCACTTGCTTGCAATTTGTTTTCATATTTTTTTTTAAATGTTTGCAATTCTCTTTGTGATGTTTGCTGTTCACTTTGGAGTGTTAAGATTGTTTTCTGGTTAGTTGTAATATTGTTCAAAAATTCGTTCTGGTTTTGCTTTAGTTTATTTCTTAAAGTTTCTAATTGTGATTCAAATAATTTTAACTGAATATCCTTTTCAGTTGCAATGTAACACGCTTCTTTGATCAGAGTTAAATTTATAACCATATGACTTTCAAATCTCTGTGAAAAACAATGATTTCCATTTAAATCCAAATCTTTTAATTTGTTTAAATTCTTAAAAGTCGTTTCTCCAATGCTTTTGATATTGTTATTCTCAAACCACACTAAGATGAGTTCTGGATTAAATTCAAACAATCCTTCTTCTAAAGCTTTAATATCATTTCTATCCAGATTTAAATATTTTATTTTAACGAACTGCTTTAAATCAGATTTATGGATTTCTTTCAATTTTCCGCCTTTAATCCGAATTGCGATCAAATTATTGAACTTTTCGCCTAAATTTGAAGGTATATATTGAATTTTCTTTTCAATAATTGATAGTCCAGTGACACTGCTGATATTTTTGTTATCTTCGTGTGGTCCTTGAATTGATTTTATTTCAAAACACTTATTAGTAATATTCAAACTATTTTCAACGATGCACGAATACTGAACGGGAATACCAAAATAGATTTCATCTTTGAAGTCACAATTAATATCAATTGCATCAACATCACAAATTGTCATTATAATAAGTAAAAGATAAAACGTCCAACGATACCTAAATATAAAAACACCGTCATTAAACATTTAAATTGACAAATAGTATTTAAAATACTTACATCATAATCAATATTTATCCTCAGAAACTATAAAATTGAACTGATTTTATTATTTTTAGATCCTAATGTTTTGAAATATTCCTTAATCTCCAAATAAAAATACTGTGTCTATTGCAGTTCATAAATTAAAATAAAATTATCTTTTATACTTTATTTTATGAACAGCTCAGTACATGAATAAATGTGGTTTTGATTATCATTCAAAGATTACGTGACACTAAAATTTCAATTTAATTTATATGAGCCATCTAATCAGTTGTGTGTCCAGCATTTAAAAACTCTTTTCAAGAGGAGGGTGCCCAGTCAAAAATCAATAAGCTTCTGTTAAATAACTGCAATTTAAAGTTTAAAAAAAATTCAATCTCAAAAGGGGGAGGGGGTACCTAAGGACCATCCGGCTACGCCGCTGAGCTTTCATTCTAAATTTCAGTAGGTTACAATAACTCCAAATCAGCTCCAATAAAAACGTTCTTAGCAAATTTACGACTCTCGTGTTTTCCTCATTCTGCCTACATGATTCTTGACTCTCAAAAAGCCATTCGTCATTTGTGAACGATCCCCTATCACAATTAGATTAGAGTGTGTCACATACTTATGACAGAGGATCTAGTGATACATATAAACCAGAATAATGCAACCAAATCATGCCTTCAATAATCATCCACGACAATAAAGCTTAAAAATTCCTTCAATTTCCATCTCATTTCACATTATTTCGTGCCGCAACAATTGGAATAATTTAGCAATTTTGTTGGTGCACGACAATGAGGAAGCAGCAGTGCTGTATGACAAGACACATTAAAGTGCATTTACAGTATTGAAAACATGATAAAATTCTTAGTTATTTTATCTCTTACTTACTCCACCTTGTGATCGATTCTTTGTGCAAAATTATATCACAAAATGGAAATCAATGCAGCAGGTATGTGAACAGCATACCGAAATTATCATACAAAATTTCTTTTTAAACTTTCCAATTATTTTCCATCTCTTCCTTTATGCGACTGCTGCAACAATAATATCAATTGATAAGAAATGGAAGAAATATTCAAATTTTAATGCGGTGCATGGAATATTTTGTTACCGAAGATGCCTTACAATCGCTACAATTGTACATCCATACAAAAATGCTGAATTTTTATGGCCATCATTACATGAAAGCAGAACAAAAGCACTTTGCATTATCAATTCCATGAGAACCAATTAAAGTTGCTTACGATTGCATTTAGGACTGCGATTTACCAATTCTCATGTGAATAACAACAATCGCATGATGTTATTTGCTTCTTTGGAGAAGTAAGTAGCAAAAATATTTATCTGCATGATCATCATCAGTTTAAGGCGGCTATTGGGAAATCAAATTCACATAAAGCACATTTTTTTATATGCCTCTTTTTTTTATTAATGTCAATCGAACATCAATGCTGATTAACATAGGGGCCGTTCACTTATTACGTAACGCTTTTAGGGGGGAGGGGGGGTCTAAGATTTTGTTACGGTTCAAACAAAAGAAATTTTTTTTCATACAAATTTTGTTACGAGGGGGGGGGGGTGTAAAAGGAGTTTTTTTGCGTTACGTAATAAGTGAACGGCCCCATAATAGCTTCTGACATCCAATCGCGTCCATCATCATCATCATAATCATCTATTCACTTTTGCTATTTTTCTAATTTAACGATAATAGGGGAAAGCTGGAGATCTTCTTTGGTATTGGATGCTGTTAGGCGCTTTTTTGGTGACTTTAAGAATTGGTTTGTCTAGACTTCCTTCTTAGTCAGAGTTTAGTGGCTTATTAACAAAAGGAACTGGTTCTTTTAAGATCTGCGACTTTATTTGGATAGAGTCTTTTTGGTTTCTTGCTAAAATGCTAGTGGCAATTCAAGCTATACTTTGAATTAGTCAAAATCTAGCGATATGTTTAGATTCTATTCTGATTGTCAGGACAAAAGCATCATTGATCACTTTGTTGTTCCTTGATTCCATCCAAATATTTTAATAATCCTTGACCATCAAATTTGTCTTTTTATGGTGGTGCATTGGTGTCGCAGCATGTAGTTGCTTTCGTTGTAAACTTCCGTGTTCTATGAGGCATTTGAACCTTACAAAATACATCTCGTTAAGTGCCTGGCTCTCTGATTGCAGCATAATTAGGTTGAAATGTGGTCTAGGCTATCGCAACTTAAGGGTTTTTACCAGATGCTAATTCTACCTCTGTATCATCACCAAATCAACAAAATCTTCTCTTTGTAGCAATTCAAATCCATCAAACAACATCCAGCAACAAAAGCCAAAGTAATCACACAAATCCATGCTTCACGAAAATCCGTTAAAAGAAATTTATGCGAAAAAAATAAAGTTAAATTAAATTAAATAAATTTCATGGGAAGTTTTACGACCTTTTTCTTATCGAACACTATAAATAATAAATAATAATAAGTATTTTTTTTTCGGGGGAACTCTATGGTAATGAGGATTAGAAAGTGGCACATGACACATTGAAGTATTGTGTCACAATCAAAAAAATGTATGTATAAAGATTTCAATGAGAGATATTAAAGTTAGACACACACAGCGAGTGAATTGATTAATTTGCGAAACTTATTATTATGTATTGCTGTATGGATGGATTGATAGATAAGTATTTATTTTGAATTGGTATATAGGAACGGTGATTGGCGATTGATAACCGTTGTGAAAAAATATATCTATAAAACTTGATTTATCATTCAAATCACTTTAAAACATTAAGGAGGAAACTGCAAACTTGCTCTTGTGTCCATCGATAAAATTTATGAGTATTTTGCTAGGGTCTTTAATAATTGACGTCCTTTAATACTGTCTATTGTTCAAAATATGAATCAAGATCCAGGAGAATCCAAGTTGATGCATTACGAAGACCCAGTCAAGTTTAAGCCAAGTTATTGATCATTATACAAAGATCTAGATCCAGGTCAAGTCTGAAGCTTCTTTATTATAGGATCCAAATCACGATACGACAAAGTTCAGATTCTGGATCCTGGTATTCAACATGCAATTTCCCAATGTTAGCAAAGAGAACAGAGTCCGTTACAAACAAAAAATTTTCAAAATTTTCGCGCGGTATTTTTTTAAAATTTCAAAATAAGAAAGTCCGTTACTTTTTATTTTTTTTAAACTAGCTGTTTTTTAAAGCATAAACATTTAAGGAATGCAATTTCATCACAGTGATTATCTTAATCATAAAAACTAGTAGGAATGTTCACTAAAATTACAAATTACTCGAAACATAATAATTCACAACGAATTTTTTTAAAAATAAAAACTTCGAAGATTCGATTTTCGAAAAAAAGAATCTCAAAAATTCGAAGTTCGAATAATAAGAACTCAAAAATTTCTGTTTGCTAGCATTAGGCAATTTCTATTTACAAGCTACGTACAGATTCAGGCCCAAATCCCCTCATCATGGTAGACATCATACCTGACTAGCCCCCGTATTCATAAAATAATGTAAGAAGTATCTATCGATGCTTTAAAAAAAACCTGTGTGTGAGGTCGATTACCAAGCTATGCAAAACACTTTCCAATTGAGCTCTCTATTTCATTTGAGCTGAAATCAATTAATTCCCTTTTCTGGCCTGGGAGTGAGAGAAGCTAGTAAATAGTTTGTATACACAAAAGTAATATAATTAATGAATGAAGTGAGAGAGTCTTGCTTTACGATGTGATTAATTGACTTTTAATTCTATTATGTCATGCGTTAACCGCTAATTTTTTTCTTCTCTTCAGCTCTCCCGCAGATGCTGCCTTTTTCAATCATTCTCCAATGTCCAGTTTCTTTTCCTTAGCCCCACTCTACAGTCTACAAAGGAGAGAAAGAAATGTGTTTAATTAGTTTTTAATATCGACATTGAAAGAGCTGAGAGAAATTAATCGACATGATATTTTTCAAATCATGATCGAATGATTGCGATTAATTTATAATGCCACACAAAAATATGTATTTATTAGCAAATCTATCAACCTACTTAATCACTTCTTTTCTTGCCATTACGTTCATAGGACTTGTAATTCGCAGAGTTGGAGGTCATTGACTGCTGATTTTAGTAGATTGCTGGATTTGACAACTTCCAGTCAACCACTTCTGGCAAAAAATATGTAAAAAATTCATTCTCTTTCTGTATTTTCAATTACAATTCACCGTGTACTTTAGTAGATTTCGCAAAAAAATACTCAATCTATCGTTTAGCACATTAAAAATGTAAATTCATAAATTATAATTCTCCTTACATGACATCGACAATATCTATTGTTTGTTTGAACATAAAATCAAATTCTTCTCGACACATGACTTTGCGAATAGTGTAAAGCGTGTACAGCAGTAGAAAAGTAAGTCACACTTACCTTACAACAATTTTTTAGCACTTTCATAAAGCTAGGCGACACTTTATTATAATTTATTACTTGTAGGTCAAATTCGTAGTTAGTTCTATTCTTTTTTTTTATGAAATGATTAATTTTGTGTCCATTTTTGTTCAGCAAATGAACTATTGTGTGTTATTTGACTTGGTTAGCAAGTTGAATGTTGATTTTGTTCATTGATACATACATACATACATCGCTGGCTTTACAGATCAATTGTGATCCATAGCCTCCCTTAGTTTGCGTCTGAAAAAGACTCTGTCGTTGGCTCCTCTCTGCCAGTCTCCAATACCAAATGCTATGCTATCTCTGTCAACAGCTTCCTTCCAGGAATTCTTTGGTCATCCGCGCATTCTCTTTCCGTCTACAAAATGAGACTAAAAGATTTTGTTAATTGGAGCTTCTTAGAGTTTCCTTGAATAACTGATATAGTTCTGCGTTGTTCCTGCTCTTAAAAAAGTCTCCTTCCTTTTTTGGTCCAAGTATTGTTCTCAGAACCTTCCTCTCGAAGACGCCAATTGCAAACTCATCGTTCGAAGTCATGTTCCATGACTCTGAACCATACATCACTACAGGTCTAATTAGTGTCTTATACATCTCAAATTTG